ATGGCTGATCCCACTGGAGGGAAGATGCCAGTCCTGCTCCCAGCTGAAGAGGCTCCCACATCTGAGCTATCTTCCGGGGGGGGGCGGGGTGTCGGGGTGTCATGCGCTGAGTGGGGACCTGGCAGAGCACGTCAAGGCAGTGGCAGGGAGACCTGTGAGGGCTGCTGTCCAGGAGAACCAGCTGGTGAGACACCCAGGGGCCACCGCTCCCCAACATCAGTGATACCAGGAGTCCAGGCAGGACCCCAGGCTTAAGCTGGACATGGCCCTTTCACCTATAATAGTACCTTCCTAAGAGGCCTCCTAACCTGAGCCCATGGCAACTCCCAGCTGGCTGGTGCAGGTCACATCGTGCTCTGCACTCCTGAGCCAAGGAGGCTGCCACCTCCCCACGTCAGTGACCATCCGCAAACCACAGCCTCAGCTTTGTGCAGCCGCATGTCAGGGAGGCACTGTACCGCCACCCTCACAAGCCCCGTTCTCATTCATCAGCTCCCACTTTAGCCATCTTAGGCAGATGGTGCTGCTTGGCAGCAGAAGGGTTTTTCCTGGCACCAACTCCTGTGCCGGGCTCTGCACAGACAATCTGCTTACGGTAAAGCCCCACCACAGCTCAGCGAGTGCTGACACATGCCCTCCAGCTAAGCCAGGTATTTGGAGCACTGCTAGGCTTGGGGCAAGAGCAGCCTGTATGTGTGTCTGCCTGAAGGGCTGGAGGGAGGGGACTGCAGGCAAACACCCCAGCACTTGCAGCATCGCTCAAGGGGTTGCCACAACACCATTTCCAAGCCTGTTACTGATGCACTAATGGCTTTAGCTGTGCAGCCTGGGACAGAGTACCTGGTCCTGGACTTCACCAGCATTTACCAGCTTGGAAGCTGCACAGACCAGCTGCCAGGGGTGAAAGGCACCAGGCGGGGCCAGCAGCCTTCAAGCCTGTGTAACAGCAGGCAAAACACAGGCACTGACAGAGCCAGCGTGTATGCACCCCCTCCTCTCTGCACACTGATGCATACACCCCCCACTCTACATACTTACATCTACACACACATCCCAACACCCTCCTACACACATACAGACACACACACACATGCACGTGTGCAAAGCCATGCAGGCTCTTGCTTTTCCTTACCCCAGCCCTACAGCCCATCCACAGTCCATTGGGCTTCAGAGGAAGCTGTCTGCTGTCATTCTCCCTGGTGAGAGGGGAGGAAGCACCTTTGTGGGCAGTCAGATGCCTGTTGGCTTCTTCCTGGGTCCCTCCTCAGAGACAGCAAAAAGAATCTGGCCAAGTGACATGGCCTTATAACGGCATTATATTATAATACCCTTATAACAGCATAACCCCTGCCCTTCAGGAGTCGTGCCCCAGTCTGCTGTGTTGTGCAGGAGGCCTTAAGATCTACCAGGAGATGGCAGCTGCCTGTGTGAGATGAGAGGGCAGATGGGGGAAGGAGGCCCCTGCCCTTGTAGCCTGAGGGAACAGCCAGGGGCACCAGCAGAGCAGTGGGCACTGCCCAGCCCAGCTAGCTCCCCCCTCAGCTCCACGGCCCCCAGCTGATGCCTGGGGACACAGCACAGAGGGAGACCAGAGTGGCCTGTCATCCCCAGCCCAGCCCTCAGCACCATCCAAAATGGAGGGGGGTGCAGAGGGAGGCTGAGGCAGAGGCCCTGGGGAATCCAGCCAAGCAGCCTGTGCAGTCAGGTGCTTACCCCAGGTTCCCATTCCCTGCCCTTGTCTTGATGCTGGCTGGCAGCAGCTATGCCTAGAGGATTGCCCAGGCAGGTCTACCCACGCAGCACCACTGACGGCTGGGACAGCCACCTCCCAGCACTGTGTGGGGGAGTAGGCTCCTTGCCCTCACCCGTCAGTGAGGCACCTCCCTGACACAGAAGAGGCTTGGGCTGGCACCCATGGGGCTCCCCACTGAGACCAACCCCCAGCAGATTTGCTTAGCACAGGCCAGTTGGGTGCTGGGATCAGTCAGGACTACAGTCATGCAGGCACCAGGCCCCACTGGGGCAGCTCTCAGCTTTTGGGCTCAGTCGCTTGCCTCCAGTCAGCAAAGCGGGGCAGGGGAGGTGGGCTGAGCCACAGCAGCGTAACCCATGCCCAGGACCCCTTCAAGATGGCCTGGCAAAGAGCAGCCCTGTCGGGAGGAAGGGACCAGGGGGAGGGAAACCAGACAAAGAAAAAGCCACCCTCGCCTGTGTGTGATTGTCTCTTAAAAAGATTTATTCTCTCTCCTTGCCCGAATGTACAAAGGCAAGAAGAGTTCAGTTTGTATATATATATATTTATATATATATATATATAAAAAACAAGGAACTTGGTAATAATGTACACTTTACAGAGGGCAGAATCAGGAAGACTGAAATTAAACCCAACACAGCAACTCCAATGGAAACAAGAGCTATAAACATCAACGTTTCAAAGTCCCCGTGGGACCCCTGCTCACCGTGTGGGGCGGGGGGTGGGCTTGCAGAAGGAAGGTGGCTCCAGGCATGGACAGCGACGGGGCAGGGGAAGGGAGGGAGGGGACTGGGAGGGCAGCGTCCCCTTCAGCTGCCCAGACTGCTCGCTGGCAGGAGCCTGCTGGGAACACTGAGGTCGAAACTCAATACTACTCAGTTGACACCGGTTTTCATTAACGGCCAAGGGAAGACTGAGAACAGACCCCACCTTAAACCAGTGTTCAGAAGCTCCTTGCCAGCTGACCTCCTTGCTGGGATCATTTGGATTGACTTGTGGCTTCCCATATCTCAAACACCATGAGTCTCTTCTTCCAGGGCTGGCTACTGCCCCTGCCTGGCCCTTGCCTGCTGATGGAGATGTCTAGACTGGGGCCAGAAAGGTTATATGGATGCCTGAAGGACACTGCTGCTTTGCCCACAACCTGCAGAAGCCAACAGGAAAGGTCTCAAACAACAACCTGGCACCAGCTGGGCTTCCTCACAGACCTGACATGCCAAAGATGGGATGCCACCCACTGCCAAGCTCGAGTGTGTCTGGTGGCTCCACCATGCTGGCAGCCCTTTGGGGTCATTTCTTGTGAGCAGCTGAAAGGTCCCCCCTGTTCCAGAGGCAGAGCAAGGGGCGGCCCCTTTGCCCCGCAGGGCTCCATCTCCCAGGTCCTCCTTGCCAAGATAATTCTCCCTATATTGTGAGGACCAGGCTCAACCCACCTGGCCTTCAGGAACGTCCCACCAGACAGGGAAGTGATCAGCCCTGCCTTTGGGGGGGCCCTGGCTGCTCTATGCCCAGTCCTCAGCAGGGGCATGTGGAGATGCCAGTGGGTCTGGGCCAGGAGATTCCCTTCACCCAGAGAGCTGTGGTGGACCAGCAGACCCACTGCCCTGCCCTTCCATGCCAAGGCCACTGTGGGCACTGAGGCCTGCCTGGGGTGGAGGGGCAGATCATGCCAGCCCTTTGGCTGGGCAGAACCAGCCTGGCTGGGGAGCTGAGCTGCCTCTCTGAAAGATGTAAAACCCTAAGCAAACCAAGACCCACTGCAGGGGGGAGGGGGGCATGGACACTGGAAAACAGCTGACAAGGATTGACCAGTGGCTTCTCCTCCATTGTACAGAGTGGGAGGGAAGGCGGAGGGGGATGGGGAGGGAAAAGGGGAGGAGGGGAAGGCAGGGGGCAGGGCCCACCCCTGCCCCCACCCCCGCCCCCCACGGGGAAAGAAAACAAAACCCAAAACAACAGCTTTCAAACGATTCCTTTTTACAATATGTACAACAGCCCGGCAGGCAGAGAGGGTCCCGCAGCAACAGCACCTTGGGGGCTGGCGTGACAGACAAGGTAGGGACAGCACCAAGACACAGGGCGCACAGACCGGCCCAGCCCTGGCCCCCTCCAAGGGGGCAATGCAGCCTGCTCAGGTAGGGAAGCAGTGTGCCCCACAGCAGTCTGTGCCAGGCCGGGGATGCCCTGAGTGAAGCAGTTTGGTGGGGGGCAGCAGCCGCTGTCTCCCTCAAGTGAGCAGCCTGGTCCCGGCTCGAAGAGCGATGGTTGTGGGAGGGAGCAGCCTGAGGAACAGCTCTGGGATCTGTCGGTTGCTGGCATCAGCCTCCTCAGAGGGGCACCAGCCTCAGCCACAGTGCTGGGTGCAGGCCCAGGGCAAGGGTGCAGCAGGGGAGCAGCCCTAGTCCCCGTCTCCAGGAGCATTTGGCAGGCTGGTTCCCTCCCACCCCACCCTGAGCAGAACCACTACCTGGAAAACTAATGGGAATAGGGGAAGGTGGGGAGGGCTCATCCCCATGGGATCGTAGCTGACCTGGGAGGAGCGGAGCCGGGCAGGGGCACCAATGCCATCCCCAAGTGCTCACAGCTCCCCCAAGCCACAGTCACCACTAGGGAATGGGAAACTGAGGGTCTCAACAGAGCAGCTGCAGTGGAGTCTGGAGCACTGCCGGCACCATGGACGTGCCAGGCACTGCCCAGTTTGGGCAGAATGGAGCCCACAGCCACCAGAGCTACCACGCTCTGCCTCCTCAGCCACCTGCACCTGCCCTCTCCCGAGAGAAGAAAACTGGCATTGTCAAAAGTGAGAAGCGACCTTGGATCTTGGCCAGCAGCACACAGGCCCACCACCCTCTATAAATTGGCCTCTATAAATATGTAAGGGGTGAATATCAGGAGCTGGGAGAAAAACTATTCACTAGGGCATCCCAGGACAAAGAGCAATGGCCATAAAGTGTTGCAGGAGTGGGCAATTAATTCAGGCAGAGGGCCACTTACTGAGTGTTGGCAAGCCATCAAGGGCCGCATGACAGGCAGCCAGGGGCAGCTAAATATTAGTTTTCTAAACTTTTTAGGGGCCCCGCGGGCTGGGTAGGATGGGCTTGGCAGCCGCACCTGGCCCACGGGCTGCATTTTGCCCACCCGTGTTAAAGGATGGTTTCAGGTTGGATGTAGAGAACTTCTTTACAGTAAGGGTGACCACAATCTGGAATAGACTTCCCAAGGAGGTGGTGCAGTCCCCAGCCTTGGAAGTCCTCAAGAGGAGACTGGATCAACACCTTGCTGGGATCATTTGATCTCAGCAGTATGCCTACCCAGAGCAGGGGGGTTGGACTCGATCTTTTGAGGTCCCTTCCAGCCCTTAATTTCTATGACTTCTATGGCCCTGGGTGGCCTCCCTGCTGGCATGGGAGGGGCTGAGTGGCTTTGACAAATGGCAGGTGGAGGAGCTGGGCCAAGTACTGAGGACTGTGAGGTGGTGGGGAAGGGCAAACCCAGAACAGAGCCAGCCCTCCAAGGGGGAACTCAGCTGTGCAAAACTAGGGTTGCTCTGCTCTGTGCTGTGCTGTGTTGTGGCGAAGGAACATTTTTCACTGCAGCCCTGGATCCCGCTGGCAAAGGGCTGATGCAGGGGCTGCACCTACAGAAGCAGTAACAGAGAAGGGCCGGGGGGAGGCAGCAGGCCTGGTCAGGGCACTAGGGCAAGGGACGCTGTGGTGAACAGAGGAAAGAAGGCATTGCAGCAGAGCACTCTGCAGGGAGGGGCAGGGCACTGGGACAACCACTTCCACACCACCTCCAGCAAAGGTCTTAGGATGGGTCTAGGGTCTGCCCCACATAGGGCTCAGTGCACGCACGGGAACTCCCCGACCTGCAGTCTGAACCAGATTTTCCCAGCTCCAACAGGGGAGGAGCCCTGCTCAGACCATGGGATGTCCCCCCAGGCACCAGGTCACCACCCCACAAGTGCACGCATGCACCCACAGTGCACACACACGGGCCATGATGGGAGTAGCCATCCCCACTGTGCACGTGTTTGCTGCAGGCAACCCCCCGATATGTTGGTACAAATGGGAAGAGCCCAAACTTTCCTTCCTGAGACTGCAACTCCCTCTCCAGCCGGATGTCTGAAGATCTTCCCTGGTTCCAACACGGCCACAAGCAGAAGGTGCAAGGGGCACACAACAACGTGAACCCAATGGGCTGGTGCTCCCTGCCCGCCCCGAGTCCTGGGCTGCTCCGAAGCGGTGACCTCCAGAGGGACCTTCCAACTCAAGTCCATCAGAAACCCTTGGTGCTTCCTGCACCCTCTTCTTCTGCACCCAGCGGGCGATTCACTTCCATCCTGAATGCCGGTGGCCAGTAGAATAAATATTTCTGTAGGTACCAGCTCTCCAAGAAAGGGGCATAGGGAAGGGGGGTGGGGGGATTCAGCGTGTGTCCGACAGGGGAGAAGACAGAGTCTGCCTCAGATTATGGCAGGAACGTCAAACAGAACAATTAACACCATTCAACTGATGTCTAATGGAATTTGCAGCGCTTCCTCATGTGAGCCAGTCACATGACTTGGGGCAGCCTAGGATATCCGACCACATCATGTCCTGTCCAAAACAATGGAAAAGGGGGCATTAGCCCAGGGCAGCATGTCAATCACAAAAGGGTAGTGGCAGCTGGCAGGAACCCAGGAGCAGCCAGCTTTAGTCTCCATCCATCCCCACCAGGCTGCCTGATATCAACAGGCCCCAGCATCAGACTGGTGGAAAAGGCAACTCCCCCACCATCCCTCTAAGAGGCACTGCTTTCACAGATCTAGCAGACAACTAGCTACAGACTACACCAAAACCAAAGCATCTGGTCAGTGGCAGGGCAGCTGGCAATGGCAGGACAGATATGAAGGGCCTCAGCTGACCTGGGGATGGGGGAACCCAAAACTGGAACAGCATGGAGCACATAGGCTAGGGCAAAAAGGCAGAGCTGCTATGGAGAATTGCGAGGGTGGGCATCACAAGACCACGAGTTGGGCTTGAGGGGCACTGGCAGAGTTACTGGGGGGCAGCAAATACATCCCCCACACCATGCCCAGGGCTCTGCCTGCAGAGGCTGCTCCTCTGCTTTAGGAAGCCCCCAGTTCTCCCCTACATATAAGAGGGAAAGCCCTAGAGACATGTGACATTCGCCCACGTGTTGGGCACCTTCCCACAGCTTAATCCTCTCCATGCCACAACAGAGCTTTCCATGCCCTGCAAGAAGACACCTTGGGTCTCAACAGCTGGAAGTTGGCTACATGGGGCTGTTCTGCAGGCTTCCCCACCTTCACTAGGGCAGAGGCTTACCGTTCTCACCTCCGGGGAGGTGGGTATAAGGAGGGAGTGGAGCCCTGCTGGCTGGCAACAATGGCTGTAGAAGAGAGACCTGCAGAAAGAAGCAGAGAACAGATCAGGAGCTGCACGGCAGCACCATGGGATGAATGGCGGTGACGCCAAAGGCTGATGACAATGGACCTGCAGTTCAGGTCGCTCAGCCTTGCCCTGCCCTGCCCTGCACTATGCAGTGGCCTGGAGCTGGGCTCAGTGCCAGGGGGCTCCAGCACCAGCCCTGAGACTGGGAACAATGAGTTGCCCTCCCCGGAGACATGACCCCAAGACTGGCAGCGCCCCATAGGAGGGAGCAATTCACCACAACAGGCCAGGGGAGCCATGAGAGCTGTCTATTTCAGCCTGGTGCTGCTAGCCCCCCAGGGCAGGAGAAACTATGGGGGCTACCTCAACCTGCCTTTCGCTGCTCCCCCTCACACTCACGCCAGGTAATCCCACACCCACCAGGGTTGTTCAGCCCAGCCCTTCCCCACACTCAGAGCTCTAGACCCTGGCATGGACCAAGCCCCCCTCTTTCACTCCCTGCCTGCGGGCCCTCTGCTCTCACCTGTTGCATAGGGCAGGTTGTACTGTGCTGGCAGCAGCGAGTACCCTAGGTGGTGGTGGTGGTGATGCGTTGACATGAGGCGTTGGGAAGGGGAGGTCCGGGGTCGGTCCACGCTCCTCTCCCCGCCTCCTGCTGCCCCGACAGTGCTGCAGCCTCCGCCTCCCCCCACCACCCCACAGCCGCTGCGCTCTCGCTCCTGAGATGTCTTCTCGCTTATCTGGACCGGGAAGCACAAAGGTGCGTTGAAGACGGTGGACAACCAGGCACCATGCAAGTAGGCTGGCCCTGATGTCCACAAGGCAGAAGTGTCCAGGCATTGTGTAGCATGTGCCATGGGGATGAAGTGCTGCAGCCTCCGCCTCCCCCCACCACCCCACAGCCGCTGCGCTCTCGCTCCTGAGATGTCTTCTCGCTTATCTGGACAGGGAAGCACAAAGGTGCGTTGAAGACGGTGGACAACCAGGCACCATGCAAGTAGGCTGGCCCTGATGTCCACAAGGCAGAAGTGTCCAGGCATTGTGTAGCATGTGCCATGGGGATGAGGCTACTAGGGCAACTGTCTGAGCCAAGGGCCCAGCAGGTCACTGCAGGCTCCTCCAGTGACTGAGCTCCTCATCCTGCTGGTGCTGCCACAGCCAAGATAGCTCTGGACTTCTGCCAGTGAGGTTACCTCCAGCCATAGATAAGCAGGGCTGAGGCTGGTCAGGGCTGGGGAAGTGCCTGCACAAGGCCCCATTACGGCCCTTCCTAATTGGACACAGTATGCTCCGCTTCCCGTCTCAAACACCGGTCTCAGGCTGCTGCTGTGAAGAGGCATGAGGCTGCCCCCAGTGGACAAGGAAGAGACAACAGATGGGCAGCACCAGTTTGCCGTGTGCGTGTGTGTGTGTGTGGGTACACACATACACACACACACATATAAATGTATATATATATACATATGATGTGTGTGTGTGTGTATATATATATATATAAAAACATCCACCCCATCATCCCCCTACCTACATCACAGGATGGTCTCTACACCCACCCCACACAGCAGGATCATTTTCCAAGGCAGCTTCTCCCATGGATTATAAGATGGATCCCAAAACACAAGTGCTCCTGGGGTCTGCCAGCCCCAGCTAGACCCAGGATGTTCTCCTTTCCCCAGGGCAGATTCCTAGCACCCATGGCTTCAGCACTGTTCCCAGAGCATGAATGAGGAGGCCTGGGAAAGGAGACCACCATGGAAGAGGCAGCAGTCCTGGGGGATGATGAAACGCTGGCCTTGCCTTGCTGGGAGAAGCCACTTCCCCTCCTCACGCCTCAGGGTTGGCTTACAGTCTGCGAGGGCGTCACGCAGCCCAGACACCACCATGGTACTGGACCATAATGAGGGCCTGGGCACGGGAATGGGAAAGCCTGTACTAAGCCACTCAACAGCACCCACCAACAGCAGGTCTGTGGGGCTAGGCTCCAGCAGCTATCTGGGGAGAGGTGGGGGGAAGCGCAGTCTGAGCGCATGGGCAGCATGTGGACCCCCAGTGGGCCCACAGTGCAGAGAAGTCCTGCCCTTCCCCAGGCTCACCGTGGGGGACTTGCTCTTGTAGTGGCTGGCATGCTGCTGCAGGATGTCCAGGGCCTTGGACTCCGAGCTGGATTTGCAGCTCACGCTGGGGCTGGCTCGAGACTTGTCGCTGTCGTCGCTCCCAGAGGCCTTGCTCCCATAGGGGGAGAAGGAGTAGCTGGAGGGCAGGTACGATCCTGCGGGGAGAGGACATTCTCACCAAGCAGAAGGCGGCCTCAGTGCCGCCTGCAGCTGTTTCCCAAGGGAGTCAGGGCACTCAGGCTGGGGAGGTCCCAGGCTGCCACCAGGGTGGCAATGACCGGTGCTACCAGCAGCAGCTGGGCAGGGCACTGCGCCAACGCTGCCAGCACAACTCTGTGATGTTCCCATGGCAACAACAGCAAAATCCTCACTATAGCACATGAGACCATGTCTCTCCTTCCCACCCCAGGCCTGGGAGGCTCTACCACTCCAACCAGCTGAGTACAAGTACAGCTGAGCACAAGTATGGTGCTGAGGGACAGAAGCACCAGGCAAAGGGAAGGACAAAGTTCAGGTGTATACAGGGCAATGTTACCCCACTCCTGCCTGGGTCTATTCCAACATTTCCAACAGAGTGCAGCATTGGCTCCTCACTATCCACCAAGCTAAGCTGGTGGCCCCCCTCCTGCACCACTGCTGTATTCACTCCCTGCATGTGCCCCATGTTCTCTTATTTCCCCCCTTTGGGAGCCTTCCAGGCACAAGAAGGCAGCACAGTGGACAGGTTACAGGGAGGAGACTCGGGGACCTGCATTTCACACCTGGCTCAGCTTTCTGATTACATGGCACAACTCCTGCCCACACTCCCCTGCTGCAGCCCCAAGGAAGGTGAGAGGAGAGGAGGTCTCCCCCACTGCACTGCCTCTTAGAAAACTTTCCCCTCTCTGTCCACATGCCACCCAATGTAACACTCCTGGATGTGCCCCTACCTGGGTAGTTCTGCATCATGACCGTTGGCATGCCCCTGTAGCTGGGGTGGTTGGGGTCATAGGACTGGCTGTAGGAGTAGCCGTGCATGTAGGGGATGTAGGACTGGTGCTGGGTGAGGGGGGAGGACACGGGAACATGGACGCTGGGCCGGGGATCCTTCCCCACCATGCGGGACTCCTCAGTGGGTGTTAGCTTGCACTCAGAGCTTGTGCTCTCCTTTCCGTCCTCCTTGGGGATGGCGTCTTTGCTTCGGCTCCTCTCTTCTTTCAACTTCCTGTCCCTCTCCTCCTTCCACCGCTCGTCCTCAGTCTTGATGTCCGAGTACTTGGCGGGATAAACATAGGTCCACATCCGGGGCTCTGTTTCCTGCACCAACCACAGGCCTTGTTAGAGTGGCCACACCCCTCCCTTCACTACATCCTGGCAACAGCACCTCACACTCCCTCCCCCACACACAGGAAGGCTCAGAGCCAGGGATGTGGCAACAACACTAATGCCAGGCTTCCCCAGACGATGACCAGGGAATGAAGCGGTGGCCTCTGCTTCCACGGGCCACTCAGCCTCCCTCCACTCCCAGCTCTGTGATCCACAGCACAGCAGCCTCATACCTGGGCCCACATGGGATACACAGAAACACAAGACTGTGCATGCTATCAAAGGCCACCATCCTTCCACCAGCCAGTTCCTATTGCCATGGGCAGTCATGACACCAAATCCCACCCCTACCCTGACCCAAAGGCATCTGGAAGCCAGGTCGTGGCTGCTCCCTACACCTATCCAGAAGAGCCTGAGAGCAGAGAGGTCCTGCCATGGAGCAGTGCAGTCCAGGCCCTTGATCAGCAGGGCCCCAAGAGGAGCCCAGGGACCTCCTGTTACTCCCCCTGGGGGTAGGAAACCTTCCGCATCCCTCTCTGCACCAAACACACATTTGAAAATAGGTCCTTCAGCTCAGAACCTGCAATCAGTGTGCTCACCCCTGCACCGGGTACAACTCACTGCTGTTGGGTGGCAAAGTGACAGAGCCTCACAGAAGAAGTAATAAAAAGTGTCCAGAAGAACAAATGGAAGCAAGACAGAGAGAGAGGGGAGGGGGAAGGCATCTCTGGAAGATGGAGGCCTGGCCTTCTCCACTGTGCTTCCTAGGGGTTGCCTCTCCTTGTTCTCCTGCCTGTTTCAGACACCCTGGCTCTTCTTGTGATGTCCTTTTGGGGATCAGATGACCAGGCAGGGGAGATGCCCCAAGAAGAGAGTCCCTGACTATTCAGCCTCTGATAAAGTAGGCTACTTCCTAAAAAAGCTCATGCTTCTCTGAACCAGTCAGTCTCTAAGGTGCTGGCATGCCCTGCTTTCTGCCTGACACCAGGCTACCACAGGTAACCGCTGCTATTTCAAGATATAGACACCAAACCTTGTGCACCCACCATTCCCCACTGCCCTAACATGCCTACTCTGCTGATGCGGAGTTGGCAACTCTTAGGTGCCTTCACTGGCTGGGTCCTTGGTGTAATTTCACCTAGGCCAAAGTCTGATGCTGGAGGGGAGTGAACCTTACACTTTGCAGCCACGGAGAGATGACAGCAACCCCACCAAGCCCAGCCCTGAGCCCACACAATGGCAGAAGCAGCCCGTCTGACACAGTGGGAGCAAAGAGGTCCACGCTAGGCACCTGTCCCTAGCTCTCTGCCTTCCTTCTGACAACAGCTGGGAGGAAGGAGAGGGCCTGGGAAGGGAGCAGGATATGGATGTTCTCTCCCTCATGCCCTGTCCAGAAGCCCAGGCAAGAGCTGCAGGGACCCTGCTGCTCCAAGTGTGTTCCCTGGCTGGGAGGCCAAGCACTTACCTGTCTGTACCAGAGAACAGGGTCCACCTCCGCCTGCCGGCTGCACTCAGAGCCAGCTTTTGTCTCTGTGGCCTCCTTCCCCAGGTGGCCAGCCTCACTTAGCTTCACCTTGAGTCCCTCTGCCACCTGACTGGGCAGCTTGGAGGACTCCTCCAGCTTGGGAATGATCACGGACTTGGCCGTGTCAGCAGCCCCCTGCTCCTTGGTCTTGCTCAGCCCAGATTTCACCAGGTCTGTGAGGCTGGGGGCTTTGGTGAGGGTTGGCGGGACAGAGGGCTTTTGCTTCCACTCCTCCTTGAGGGCCACCTCTCTCTCCTTCATGCTGAGCTCTGCTTTCTTCTCCAACCCTCGCTGCTGCTGCTGCTCCAGGTTCTGCCTCTGCTTCTGCTGCTCTTCATACTGCTGGCGGTAAGCCGGGTTGGTACTCAGCAGGTGGGCGTGGTAGCCCTGGTCACTGTAGCCATAGGGGGGCACATAGGCATACTGGTTGTAGTAGAGGGACTGCATGTACATGTTGGGTCGTTGTTGGATGACAGAGGGCTGCTGGCTAGAGCTGCTCAGCTCCGTCTTCTTCTCTTCACTGCCTTCACTCTTCACCTTCACCTCAGGGCTCTCTTGCTCCTCATCCTTTTTCATCTTCAGGGACTGCGTCTCTGCTGTCGCCTGACTGCTGGAGTTCATGGGCCCAGGGCTCGACTGGGGGTAGCCTGGGGAGTAGTAGGTTTCAAAACCCTGGTAGTAGGGGGAGTCCTTGCTCTGGGTCTGGGCAGGAAAGAGTGCTTTCTTTGCACCTTCTTTTACCAGCTGCTCAGGGTCCTTAGCCTTCACACTCTCCAGTTTACCCTCCCCATCTTCTCCTGCATCTGAGATGTCTGAATAGGCTGGGCTGTTGGTTTTCACTGAGCTGGCCTCAGCCCCATTCTGGGTGACGACATGCAGTGGTGTCATAGGCTGGGCCGGGTTGGCATTCTCCAGTCTGCTTGTGCCTCCAATGGATGGGCTTGGAGCATTGTCCGTGAAACTGTAGATTTTATCTGCCTCAGCCTTGATACTGGCGAGCCGGCTCTGGTGGGGATCAGATGAACCATTCAGAAGCCCCTCGCTTTTGGTCCCTAGGTCACTGGATTCCCCCCTGAAGGGGCTCTTTCCTTCCTCTGCCCTGCAGACCTTCCCGGGAGTCAGGGGGTTTTCAACTTCCTTGGACTCTTTCTTTTTCTTGTCCTTTTTCTTCTTATCCTTGGAAGGAGTCAAGGAAGGGTTGACTGTAAATGGTTCTCCCATGACTGTTGGCTTTGGCTGGATGGGTTTGAGCTGGGGGCTGTTAGGCATGGCCTGGACCACAGTAGTGGTCAAGCCGGTGGAGGCACCAGGGCTTGCCGCAGTGAAGGTGGCTGTCTGGAAGGTGTAGATCTGCTGGGGGGGGATGGCAGGGGCAATGGGTCTGGCAGACTTTAAGCTTTTAGAAGGGATCTTCTCTGGCTTTGTGCTGACGGGCTTCTTTGACTTGTCCTTTTCAACACACCTCTTCTCCAGTGAGTCGAAGCCATCATTACTTGTCTCATCGGCCACCGAGGGGCCATCCTCGGAGCCATCATTGGACAGGGCCCCAGGATCTGTGTCTCCTTCCCCTCCCAGCTTCTTCTTGCAGGGGACCTTGGTGCTGAACTTGCTGGATGGAGAAGGGCTGTGGGGTTCCATCAGCCGGACTTTAGGGGTGGCTGATCGAGCCGGGGACAGAGAACCCTTCTGTGAGATAGGAGCCCCATTGCAGCTCCCAATGTCCGTGTGAAGGGAAGGCTCCTCGCCATACTCGCTGTCCACATCTGCCTCTGGCTTGCTATCATCATCTGTGTGCGCATGTGCCTGGTGGTACTTGAGTCCATTGATGTGCTTGTACTTCTTGTTACAGTTTGGGTGGGGGCAGTCAATAAGGATAGGGGAGGGACAGTTCCTGTCCAGGACAGCAGGCTCCACCTTGACCCCGGCCGGGGGCACGGCAGCCGAGCCCATCGAGTTGGTGCGAATGCGTTTGCTCCCTTTGGAGTCCTCGGAGCTCGAGTTCAGCTCCATGTCAGAGAGGGGCTTGCTTTTCCGCTTGGTCACTGAGGAGGGGCTGGCCTTCACATCCTCACCAGCACCGCTGGGCGGGGTACGGTGGTCCGAGGAGTTCTGGCTGCCCCGGCGCCCTTTGCTGTTGGCCCCTGCCCGGGTCTTGCTGCTGCTGCTGGTCCCTTTGCTGTCCGAGGCAGTGGCAGTCTCATTCACAGGCGTGTTGCTGTTAGGACGCATGCGCTTCCCTCTCCCCCGGCCATTCCGCATCTCCAGGTCACTGGTGGGAGAGTCGCAGAACCTGGGAAGAAAGATAGCACAGGGCTTAGGGAGCTGCAGGTCTCAGAGGGCATAAGCTGCTCAGGAGAGCAGTGCTGCCTGGCAGGCAGCCTTGCAGAAGCCACGGAGAACATGCTGGGGCCTCAGGGGCTGGCCCAGCTCCTGCAGCAGTGCTCAGAGTTCCTGTGGCAATGGAGTGCCAATACACACTTTCTCTGCTGACCACTGCACTGGTCAGAGTCTATGCTCCACTCTCCTTCCCCCTATAGCCCTGAGCACTCTCTCACACTTTAGGTCATGGCCTATCCTGCCTGCAGGGAGCTCACATGGTTACACACTGGGCAGGAAGACAGCAGCTATACTTGGCTCTAAGGCAGCAATGGCAGCCAGAGGTTGGCAAAGGGTTTCTACCTCATGCCATGGGAGTGAGGAAGCTGGAACTCTCTAGGGTAAAACAGAAATGCAGTAGGGGTGCACCGATAAAGATTTTTTGGGCCGAGACTGATGGCCAATTATTAACGAGCCATATTGGCTGATACCGATCCGATTGCCAATATGCAGCCTAGCAGCTTTGGAGAGCAGCATCCAGCTGGTAAGTCTGTTGTGGTGGGGAAGGAAGTGGGGAGGGGGCAGATTGAGGCCCCTGCAGTGAGGGAAGAAGTGGGGCTGGGGCAGGTGCCCAGTGACCCCTCCAAGCGGCAGCTGACCCGGGCCGGGGCAGCAGGGGCCCAGGCAGCCCGCCATGAGGCCATGTCAACCTGGAGGTCTGGAAGGGGACCGACCTGGCAGGCCAGGCTGGGCGAGAGTTCCAGGAGCCCGGGCACAAATCCAGCTTTGCACCGGTGACCTGCCCGAGGGCCAGGCAGGCCAGGGCCATCTCAAAGGGTCCCGGCAGGTACGTGGGACCCTGGGGTGGGCACCCAGCAACGTCTCCAGGCAGCGGCTGACCCGGGCTGGGGTGGCAAAGGCCCAGGCAGCCTTCCACAAGGACATGTCAACCTGGAGGTCAGGAAGGGGACCTATCCGGCAGGCCAGGCCAGGCCAGGCTCCTGGAACTGCCGCCCAGCCCAGCTGAGTCAGGGTGCAGGACAGAGTCTCAAAAGGCTCATCCAGGGGAATGGGGGGCAGCTCCTGACATGGCACACACCCCCAGGGGAGCACTGGGGGGATGGCACGTGTCCCCCAGATCCATGCATGGGGTGAGGGCAGGCTACCGCTGTGGGCTTGGGGCCTTCACACAGCAGGGCTCCTCGTGTTGCTCCATCCATCAGCCAAGGCTGCAGGACCAGCCTGGACCTGCTTCTTCCATGTCTCCACCACACACTCACCGAGGGGGTGCCCAGTCATGCTGTGTGCAGTCCAGCAGCGTCCCCACGTACGTCTTATTCCTCCAGGTCACGTTGACCACCAACATCCCTGCAAAGCAAGAAGAAGAGGTCACACGCTGCCCACTGTCCTGCTGGAACAGGCATTCTGCTCCCCAGCCCCACATGAGGAGGGGCCGCAGCTTTCCAGTGCAGGGTTAAAGAACATCACCCAGGTCTATCACTCAGGTCCTTGCTGCTGCCTCACTGGGGAAACTAGAGGCAGCACCCCTGGGTGGGGCCCTACCCAAGCCTCATAGTGGCACTGGCCAGGGCAGCAAATGTCATCGTTGCCTAGATGTCTGTAATGTGGGGGCAGGGGCTGAGCGGAAGGGCACAATTCCAAATCTGGGCTATTGAGAAGCAAGCATCTGCCTACTGGAGCCAGGGGGAAAGAAGAACAGAAGGCCTGCTGGAGGGGGATGCAGCTCTCCAACCAGTATAGACAGTTGTAGGGGCTGGAGTAATGGCTCAAGAGTCTAACCACTTCCTTCTGTCCCTTACACAGTAACGCCACAGCCCAAAGGCAAGTGACAGAGGAGATGGGCACATCTGGGTGGGGTGCAAAGTCAGCAGGATTGAGGGCATGTGTACTGGTGAGGGAACCCAAGGAGAGAGAATGGGGCCATGGACGCAGAGACACAGGAGTCCAAGAGGCTCAATGGCTGTATCAGACACACACTTGGAGAACTGCTCTCCTTTCCCAATAAAGTAAAGCTGCCCCCTCAGCAAATACACAGCACCTCCATGAAGTCCAGCATGTGAAGCTCCCAGCATCCCTGTGGCAAGATGCACTAGACGGCATGTTGCATTGCCAAGTTTCCCATCCCAATACCAGTCTTATGAGAGCTAGTCTTGGCATTTGGTTTATAAGTGCCAGCTCCTGGAGTCATGTGAATATGTGAGACTCTGCATTTTCTAGGCCTCTGGGCCACACAAAAAAGCTGGAAAAGAACCCCTGAAAGGTTTAGGTCCTGCAGTACAAACATAAAAGCCAGACACTTGCTATTTATAAGATCCTTGTGGCTTTGGACCTCTTGGAGTTGGCGACACAGAGTTAATGCATCTCAGGGTAGGGTGTAGGGCAGTAATTCTCAACCAGTGTCCCAGCACCCTACGGTGCCCTGAGATCCATTCAAGGGTGCCACTGGGGGCCACACAATGTTAGCACCGTCAAGTAAGCAAACAAGAGTCACAAGATAAACCCAGACACTTCAAACAGGAATTCAGTGTTAAAAACCTGCGCTGTTGTGAGCTTTGAGTTCTTTGCAGCAGAAAATCTGCTCTGCTCTTTTTCTGCGTGCACAAAACACGTGAAAACTAAGAGCTGGCATTACTGAGGAGCATCATGAGTTGAATGAGGGGTGCCTCCAATTGGAGGATGAGCACCTCGAATCTGAAAAGGTTGAGAACCATAGCTCCCTTCCAGGATGCAGGAGGGATGCTCCAAATCCCTTGTGGATATATTGCCTCTTGGCCACTAGGTGTCGGGCTCTGCCATGAAATTCAGCCTCGGCACATCCTCCCCTTCCTCAGCCCCTGCACTGTGACCAGGGATCAGAGCAGCAGGCTGCCCCACACATAGCCCAGCCTAGCCACCCTGGCTGGACGGAGCTGGTTATGTGGAGACACCATGTTCTCCCGATGGCCTGGCCACAAAGCATTTCCACAAGACTCTCTCCACAAAGCAGGCAAAGCTGATGGAGAGGGGGAGAAACTCCTTCCGGGCAGCTCCCTATACCCAAGCAAGAAACCCTGCCTGGCCAGCAGCTCTCTGACACCAGGCCACTCTCCAACCCACCCTGCAGGAGGGGAGTGTGTCACCCCAGCAATACCCACTGCACATGATGCTTGCCCCACTCCAGCACAGAGTCTGCAGCCACTGGCCCTTGCCTAACAGCCCACAAAATACAAGCAAGTAGCCGGTTTCCCCCTCTGCAATGCCCTGCTCTGCCCAGCTTGGAAGTGCTAAGCAGCCGTGTCTAATGCTACGAGCCTTTTCTACTCCAGTGCACTGCCACATAGTAGCCAGGATGCAGGCAGTCTGAACAGCATCCCACAGCCCAAGAGCCTGAATCCAGGGCTCCTGACAGCCAGTCAGGGGATTGCCAACTGGCCTGAAGATTCAGTTTGTAGACTACAGAAGAGGAGGCTGGACAGAAGCTATGAAACAACTCACCCTCCCCAGGCCAAGTTCAGACAGAGCAGCTGTGAGGGTAAGGGTATGAGACTGGACTTTCTAGCCTTGGCTCAACATAAGGAAATCTCCCCATGCATAGAGTGAAAACAGCTACTACCAATGGTGAAGCCTGATTAAGCTCCCTCCAGTGCCTCGAGAGTCCTGGCTGAATGGTGCTGTTGGAAGGAGATCATTAGTAGAACAAGAAAATGCCATGGGTCATGAGAACCGCCCATCCTTCGCTTCAGTTAAGAGGCTTGCCTCCCGCCACCCTCCCACCTCTCCCCACCCCCATGCAGCATCTGGGCACGGGTAGCTGCCAACATCATTCTCCTTCTGGAAGCCTGCTTCTATGCTAGCACCTTCTTGGGTCTCTTGTGGCCAGCAGGCTACAAGTACCTCCATAAGAAAGCAATTACACTAAATAATCTCGGGCCATTAGCAGAGTGAACTCAAGTGGATATTTCCTCCCAGCGATGGACTGCTCTGATTACTGCATAACTAATTCAAATAGGAGCAGAGTCCATTGAACAGAGTGCATTTATCTGAACAAGGTAAAACTTGGGAGATAGAAATCTCATTTACAAGGGCAGATGAGTGTGGCTAGATATATAGCGGCACGGCATCAGAAGATGAATGGAGCTCAGGGAGTCCGGAACAGCTGTGCCTGGAGCACGCTTATAAATCTTGGTCCGTATTTCCCCAGTTGTAACATGCCAGCAGACAGCTGCACACTTTTGAGAAATAATACATGGAATCGAGAGAGACTTGCGGAGCAGAGGGCCAAGATGCAAGTTCACTTTTAAAAATGGCAGGCCCCGTGCTGTGGGAGTAAGAAGGGGGGTGACTTCAATGGGAATGATCAATTATTACTTTTATTTTAAATGTTTCCCCTCTCCCCAAAATGTTGACAATTTACCCAAGCAGTAGCCTGTGGAGAGAGGTGCTTATGGCACCAGGCTGGAACCCTGAAGATCTGACCGCAGCAATCAGAGATTGCTGTATGAGCTCAGGCAAGTTCCTCTCTCACTTCTTCACTGGCTAGATGAAGAGGCTACTTCCCCAGTTCACAGGAGAATTTCAAGGATACAGTGATGAGTGTCTGAGGTGCTCCAAAAGGATGAGGTGAGCCACAGAGAGACTTATAAACACAACAGCATGGTGCTATGGCAGGGGTCTTTCTCAGTAACCCTGAGCCTCCCTACAATGCTAAATGGAAGGGAGCTAGTATTTGGGGTATAAGAGGCTGGGAAAAAATGCAGTAGTAGCCTTGCAAATCAGAGAGGGAAACTAACCCATCTAGTTCCACTGACCTGAGGTAGTGAAATATAAGCATATGGCATATGAGGGTGGAATGATGACTGGGAGGCTCAAATTCCCTCCATGTTAGTTCAGGCAGGGTGCTGTGCACGAGGTCTGCAGAAGTAAATTCCTAAGGCATGACCTGAGGCCTGCCACTGTCCCCTAACTGTTTACTGCTGAAAGTCTACTCCGGATATCAATACACAATGTATCAACACAGCACCACCAGACAGCAGGCCCAGATACAGGGCATGCTAACACTGGTATTTAAAAAAGAGCAGACAAAATGTACCTACACTGATATAACTTACTAGAAAATGCCCTGGTGTAACTTACCCTGGGGTAGGTGCTGTGTATCTGTAGTTATTCTGGGATAGCCATTTGCTCAATACAATTACATGCTCCCCTGCTACCTAGTGGCACAGTCCTGTAATAGCGCCCACTGCAGCATCCTTCCCGTCTCCACCAGTGAGAGCTGGGCATTTCTTTGCTGCACACACCAGTATAATTTGCAGCAGTGTATAAGACTAGCATAAACACCACCAGTCTTAATGTGGCTGGCGCCTGAACATAGAAAGCCTCAGCACAGCTAAAAGGCACCAGGAAACCTAAATACTGAGAAAAACCAGACAGTGACATCTGGTCACTGAAACCCCCACGCTTACAAAAGCTCAAGACCTAAATCTTCTCATGATCCATAGGAAGGGGCCACCCAAGGAAGCAGACTGGCTCCCTTCCCTCTATCATGGCCTGCCTCCGGCATCCTGATTTGGGACTGTGCACCCTGTGATACAGGGAAAAAGCTCACTACCGCCATGTTCATGGGCCATTCATGAAGGCAGGAAGTCTTTGGGAAGAGGGCATTTGTACAGTGGGAAGATTTCTGCCTGTCTTGAGGGCAGCGCATTTAAATGAATCTCCTCCTGCTGGATTCAAGGACCTGGCCCCAAAAGCAGTTTTCTGTGCCTCAACCCACCAGCCTCCGCTCCATCACCCAAGGGAGCTGAGCTGCTCCTTTCATTCAGTCTCCACCTTCTAGCACTCTCCTCCATCCTTGCCGGGAGTGGCTGTGCAGCACACGATGTTTCAAATGTCTCTTGAGAGAAAGCTCACTGTTAGGAGCCTGAGCGCACACTGCTCACACTGCCCTCCTATGGATGGTTGTGTGGCAGGATGCCAGAGGCTCAAGCCCCAGGCCAGCGTGCGGAGGCAGAGGGCCTTCTGGCATTTTCCCCACTGTCATCATCGCGGGAGGGAGATAAAGAGCTAAAGCAAGCCTTTGGCACAGGTGGGATAACTACCAGACACCTCCTTCCCCTCCACAACAACCACCTGGCAGACGGCTGGATGGAAACCTGCCACCACACAGCCTATATTTAACCCACTGCAACCAATTGCACAGCATCCCATCCTAATCCTCCAGCAACAGCACAGGGTAATTTAAACCATGGGGAGAGCTTCTAAGTGGCTTTTTAACCCATCAGCATCAATGGCAAGACAGTGCTTGGCCTACCGGGACCCAGACTGAGCAAGTATAACCAGGCCAGAGTGGTCAGGAATGAGAAGTGTCT